CTGGCCTTCTTAAGGCCCATCCCCAACTCACAGTATTGATGAATAATTGTTTAGCCTAAGATTGAGATCCCCACATATACACAGCAGCTGCCTGCAAGCTCTGAAAAGAAGCTTCATCGGTCCATCTCCTTGTCTGGACCGATGATCCCCATCGTGTTTACCCAGCAGTTTAATTCCTTTGGTTGTGGCTGACTTCAAAGCAAGAATGCTTAAGAGTGCACATTTTATTAACTTGGGTTTATAGTGTGCACTGTAGTATTTCTAATGTCTGCCTACCTACCTACCTATTCTGCCTACTACCTTCTTAGATATTCAATCTGTTTTAATAGTATAATCTGTGCAAATAGTGCAATCTTACATGCAATCTGCTTTAATAGTATAATAATTTAATTCTGTTTTAATGTAACACTTTTCTCTGTTTTCAATTATACTGTTTTTAATCTTGTAAGCCACTCTGAGTCCCAGATTTGGGGGAAAGGGACGTAAATAAATAAATAAATAAGCCCTTTTTCAGCATCCAAGTTTTGACAATGGTCTCTCCTCAACCAATATTTTTATTGAGTTAGCTGTCCTCTCAGGCTCCATTTGTACTGCAGAAATAATCCGGTTTGACACCACTTTAACTGCCATGGCTGAGCTCTGGTGTCACAACCAACTACTGTTCCCAGAATTCCATAGCATTGAGCCATGGCAGTTCAAAGTGGTATCAAACCAGGTTATTTCTGCAGTGCAGATGCAGCCATATTAACCACATTGACTTCAATTACTTCTTGTGAATTAGACTGACCAGAACCTTCCCTTCCAGATACATTCCTTACTACTAATTATAATAGCAGCCCTTTTGTTTGCAATAAAAGCAATACGAATTTGACAAAGGAGTTTTCGTAGTGTCTTGCTACGTGTGTGTGTATTGCAAATGACTGGTTGCATTTTGTTATTCCCACTAGCTCCGCAAAACCAAAGCAGGTGACCTGATTTTACACCTTCACTACATGTGGACTGAGCTTTTCTGAGGCAAGACCACTGGTGAGTCAGTGATTGTTTTATTCCAACCCTTCTTTCCCACCTTGGATTTAGAGTGTAAATATGCAGAGTATTTAAACATATATAGAGTGTATACAAACACATCCCCACACACAAACAGAGCTCCCTCCACAGTTGATCTCTGCTTCCCATTGTTGATTCTGATTGCTGGTTTAGCTCCAGTTCTCAAGCCTCTCACTTGTTGACTTCATCTTTTACTTGTCTCTTTCCCATGACAACAGCTGGTGAGAGTAAAGATTGTCCGATACCGCCTGCGAAGGCAGAACATTTCCATGAAGGGAGGAAAAATCCATTTGAAGACGCTGAGAGGAGAGCACAGCACAGGCAGGGCCTGTATTTCTACCCCCCACCTTGATTGAATAGACCCTTTGGGTTTGGTTTTTCTCAGAGACCATCACTCTCATTATGGAATTCAAAGAGACAGGTTCTCATGTAATAAAATGTTAATCACATGCCGTACTTCCCTTGTTTAAATACTGCTGGAGGGGAAAAAAACTCCTATCCTTGCATTCTTAGGCATTTAATTTACTCCAAAGGAAGCCCCTACTCATATACAAACACTGGGGTCAGGACCGGCTGCATTTTATAAGGAAAATTCAAGGGTAAGTGGGCTCATCTCAAGGTGACACCAGATTAAATTCTATCTCAGGCCCCCTTCACACTACAAAAATAATCCAGGATGAATCTGGGTTGAATCCTTGTTGTCCACACATGTCCCAAATGCACTCGATGCAACTTTTGGGTGGCTTGCAAAAACCCCACTTAACCTGAGATATTCAACACTGGGTTTTCCCCCAATTTTTTCCTGAAAGATCCGCATTGTCGGCAATGTGAATAAGCTTCCGAATCAATTCAAATCGCTCCTCTGTAGGGATCTGTAGGAAGGGAGGCAGCTCCATCTTATCCCAAAGCAATGGCATGTGTAAATAACACAGGGGTTACAATGACCCAAAGAGATTTGTGAACCCAAAATAATATGGGAACCACAAACCCAAAATGCATCAGCATGCCAATCAGCATCTCCTCAGGAAAAAAAAAAATGAGTGTGAACGCAATTTACCTCACAGGGTTGTTGTGAGGAGAAAACGGGTGGGAGGGAGAGAGCCACACATGTTGCACCAGATGGCTTTAGAGGAAAGCTGAGGCAAAGGATTCATTGAAGCAACACCAAGCTGGATGTTTCTCATGGCAATTATTCCCATTTCCT